ATTGAGAAAAACAATTAAATGGCCTAAAAAGGTAGTATTATATCTCGTCAACTGCGGCCTGTTCAATGCATTCAAGATTTATAATTCGTGTAATGATGAAAAAATGAAATATAAAGATTTTCTACTTGCTGTGATGAAATTATGGACGACGGAAGAAAAATCAACGGATACATTTATGGACATAGAACAAGGTATTTCAAATACAACAAATCATCTACGTGTCGACCCACCATGTAGACTCGCTGGTAATATGAAACAGCACGTACTGGAACCAATGACGAGTAAAGGCAAGAAGAAGTTCCCAACCAAACAATGTAAAGTTTGTTCGTCCAATGGAAAAAGGAGCGAAACAAGATACTGTTGCAAATTATGCCGAACAGCATTGCACAAAGGAGTATGCTTTACCAGATACCACACTCTAAAGCATTATTCAAGTTTGTAAAATAAATAATATTATAGTTCAAATGTAAAAAATCTTATAAAATAAATAAATGTATTAACTATATATATGTAGTAATATTTAAGAATAATTTATGTGAATATAATACCAAATGCAAATTAGAAATGTGTGTATCCGCTTCCTATTGCTTGCCAAGCATGCTTCTGAAGCGTTCGAAAATGTGCGGGCGTTGACGGCGTGTTGAACGTGCAGAGCGCCGTACGCAATGTGTTAAGTGACGTGGCCATTTTTACTTCACATTTCTTTTATATATATATTCATCTATAGTCGGAGAATAAAAACCTTGTTGGCGAACGGACATCCTAATGACGTCGGCCGACAACAATGGCGTGAACGCGTCAATGAAAAAATATAACGTGGTTAACGTGTATAGAAAACTTTATTAATAAAACGGTATCAAAATAGGTATAACAACTAGTTGAAATAGGTTTTAGGAACACGTGGTGGATGCAATGCGTTGTGTGTCGTGTAGCGTGTATAATGCCATTCTTTATTGTTCTCTTTGTTTTATGTGTTGTTGGTCTGTTTTATCATTTGAGGTATAGTTGTATAAGCGGTCTGTAGAGGCGTAACTGTAGATACGCGTCCGCTACAACTACTCCCCCCCAAGTGACTTTGCGCGGGAAGCTTAAAAGTCATGGTGCGTTTGTACGTTTTCTTTGGTATATCCATTAAAGATCCCCAATGATGTGGTTTCATCTTCTCAGGTACTAATTGTTGGTCTTCGACGTTGTCGAGATCAGTCTTGTTAATGTAGCAAGGCTTCAGTCTTTCGATTGAGACGTTTTTTTCTTCACCTTCTACTAGTATTTTGTAGAGTTTATCGGAGATTCTGTCGATCACCTTGTATGGACCTTGATAAGGCACTTCTAACGGTGCCTTTACGTGGTCACAGCGTAACCACACATGCGTGCAGGTGTTTAGATCCTTGAGTATGAATACTTTTGCTTTGGAGTGGTGTGCGGTAGGCGTTGGTCGTATGCCCGCATGTATTCTCGATGCTTTTCCACGAAGATCTGTGAGTCGAGAGGTTGATCGGTCGAAATGAAAAATTCTCCGGGTACTCTTAAGCATGTTCTGTATAACATTTCTGCCGGAGTGGCTTGGATATCCTCCTTGAATGAAGTTCGAAGTCCGAGTAGTACCACGGGTAAGATGTCGAGCCAAGGTTTTGGAGAGCACATTAAAGCGGCTTTTAAGGTTCTATGCATGCGCTCGACGATGCCGTTTGATTGAGGATGAAAAGGAGTCGTTCTTGTTTTCTTGGCACCTACGAGATAGACGAGAGATTGGAAAAGAGCTGATTCGAATTGTGTGCCTTGATCCGACGTTATGGTGATTGGAGTTCCGTAGTGGGATATCCACTCGTTGAATAATGCTGTTGCGACTGTGTCCGCTGACATGTCTTTTATCGGTACCGCAGCTGGCCATCTTGAAAATCTGTCAATCATTGTGAGGCAGTATTGGTATCCTCGAACGTTTGGCAGGAATATTATGTCAATATGTAGATGGTTGAATCTGTTGCTGGGTACTTCAATGTGGTTAGGTTCAGTTCTTGTATGTCGATGAATCTCTCTGACATGCTATGCACTGTAGATACGCGTTCGCTACATAAAAAAACACAGATACAACTACAAAGCAACAAAATGGCCCAAATTAAAAAAAAAAAAACTGCAAAAGAACTATACCAGCAAAATCCCAGACAACAGAAACCTAGACATAGACGAAATAGATAATAGCATTACTGACTTAAACGACGCAATACTGACAACCATTGAACAAACAGTACCAAAATTCAAGCCTCATAACAATATACACAAATACCTCAATACCAAAATAAAAAAACTGCAGAAGAACAAAACAAGGTACATCCAAACACTTCACAAAATGCAAAGGAACAACCCAAACAGATGGAGAAGCGAAATAATAATAACCAAAGTAATCATAAAATGCATTAAAGAGCAATTAAGAAAAGAATTTGATAGGGCGACGGCCAGCTATTACGAAGGGCAGCTAAAACAGATAAACCATCGAGATGCGTCTACCTTCTTCCCTAAGATTAACAGACTGCTAAGAAGCAAAGAATGGGTTAAGATTGGCGATCAGGTGGTTGATCCCAACGATCCAATTATTGGTAAACTAAACTCACTTGATAAAATTCTGCAATATTAGTACAGATAGAGATAGCATCAATGTAAGTAGCTCCAAACGTGGAGACAAACATTAAGAACTGAAAACATGTGATATTAAAGGCCGGTTTTTAAGTATTGTTTGCTGCCTAGTTATAAGTGTTACACCTGTAAATAAGAATGTATTTTTAATAAAGCAAATAAACTTTTTTTTAAAAAAATAAAAAAAATAAAAAAAAAAGTGAGGCAAATCACCATCCATTAGTAATGTCCATCCAGTTATCGTATGTTCCCGAGTTCAAATCCCGGGGGGGAAAAAAAAAATTATACGTCATATACGAGTAAGAAATTCGACAACTAGACATATGTATAACAATCATTACTTTTTTTTCTTTTGTTTCGTCAAGTCAGCTTAACGTCATATTTATTTCGTAAAAGTCTTACGTCAATAAGTGTGAAATAATGAGTCACATGTGACTCATATCTGACTTATATCTTACGTAAATCCTGACATAGCGCAAAATCATTTTGACATCATTTTGATGTAATTGTGTTCACTGGGAAATAATTAAATAAACTGTGAAAAAATTTATATTTACGATTTATAAAACTTTTATGTACAAAAAATTCTTGTATAATAAAACAGTGAATATATTCATATAAATTATAAATACTTGACAATAGTTTATATGTTTGAAAAATAACTAGACCTCACCTATACAAGTTTGAATATTTTATTTAAGTTCCTATTTCTTTTAAGTTCCTTCTAATATTATCCTCCCGTCTAGGTTTGGGTCTACCCATTAATCTTTTCCAGTTCGGTATACTGACCAATAATTTGTGCGCCGTTAGATCCTCCCCCATGCGCGCCAAGTGACCAGCCCATCTTACTCGGCRTGAATTTACGACGTTAATAATGTCCGGTTTGTTGTACAATCGATGTACTACTACGTTATGGAGTTTTCTCTATTCGCCCGTTTCCTCATCGCATTTTGCAYCGAAGATTTTACGAAGAATTTTGTTTTCGAAAACCCTAAATTTCTTTTCGTCCCGTAACGTAAGCGAYCACGTTTTGCTACCATAAAGGACTACTAGCAGGATGATTGCCCTGTATATCCTGATTTTTAATCGCCTAGACAGTATCTGCGAGCTGAGTAATTATTTAACCGAATAAAAACATGATTTGACTAAATTGATTCTTTTCTTAAGTTCTTCGTTAATTTCGTTCGTCTAGTTTATTATCGATCCTAAATATACCTGAAGTTGCTGACCCGCTCAAAATTTTATCCCGTACGACCAAAGTTCCAGTACTAGGCCTATTCTGAACTCTATCGGTTACCATATATTTGTTTTTTTCCGCGCTTATTCGCAGGCCCAGATCCTTAGTATTATCTGTTAATATTTTCGCGTTATTAATTAATGACTCTTCATTGTCTCCTAACAAAGCAATATCTTCCGCGTATGTCAACAATTGAATTATATTATTATTATTATTTTGACTCGAACTCTGTCAAATAATTTATCAGCTTCTAAACTTGCCAAGCAATAATCACACTGAGAGAATCTCTGCATCTTTCTAGCAACGTAACCAGCTATATAAGCAACTACGTATTCATTTTTCTGTACAATCAATTAATAATGAGGTATGAATTTTATCCTATTGGACTGAGAAAAAAATAAAAAACTGCGATGCGGAGGATCTTCCTATTAAAATTAAGAGCTCATATTTGGTGAGAATTTTTTTAAGGTGTCTAGCAACCCATTTTTCCGTGGCACTTGTAAAAAAAATATAATTAATTTTTTTGACCCACCCTAATATATATATATATGTGGAGTGTGAGAATGTGAGTTAGAACACTTAAGCATGAGTGGACCAGAGAGTACTTATCGGATATAGTTAGACAAAGGATAAACTATGTAATATAAACAGCCGGATAACGATAGAAAGAGCGTCACCCAAGGAAGTAAATTAAAGAAAAGAAACCAAGAGGTAGTCATCGTTTAGTAGCCGAGCAAAGAAGGTGTTTTATCATCACTTTGTATTTTTACTTCTTTATATTAAATATATTGCATATCCGTGAAGAGAGGTTTTTCTTTCTACATTAACCTATTAATAACACCGCGGAATTCTTTCCTTTTTTTTACTTGTTAGATATCCTTTAGGAAGACTAACAGGAGAAGGGGAATCCCACATATATATTCATTTTTTTTATTCGAACAATGGCAAAACGTTCAAACACGAATTATTCTCATGATACAAGTAGTAGTGAAGATGAGCTTCAGATAGACATTTATTCAGATCTGTTAGAAAAAATAAATGTACAAGATGACGAAAACAGTGATATTGATATCGTCCAACCACCAAGGCAAAAAAGAAATCTCATAGATATCGATAGCGATGAAATTGATACGGAAGAAAACACACCTCTAAATGATAGTATATCATCAAGTGAAGAGTGGGAAGACGTCACTGAATCAGATTTTTCTCCAAAAACGATAAATTTTGACTTACATAACGAAATAGCTGGACCACAACTACCAAATAATGTGAAAGAACCCATAGATTATTTCACATTATACTTTACAGATGAATTAATGTACAGCATAATAAAAGAAACGAACAATTATGCAAGAAAGAAATTAGAAAGAAACAACTTTCACAGAAATCAACTTGGCATAAGTGGCATGATATTACTAAAGAAGAATTTTTAGCTATTATTGCTGTTATTCTAAATATGGGATTGATTCAACTGCTACATATTCAAGAATACTGGTCTACTGCTTCCACTAGTAAAATTGATTTCTTTTCGGAAACATTTACTGGGGCTAGATTTATGCAAATATTTTGGATGCTTCATTTAACGAAACCTACAAAAAAGAATGCGACACTTAAAACTCATATCTGAAAGGTCAGCAATTATTTAGAATGTATAGATACTAAGTTTAGACAATATTTCATACCGTATGAAGCAGTCACAGTGAATGAATCTGTTGTGAAATTCAAAGGCAAAATATCATTTATTACCTATAATCCGAATAAGCCAACGAAATGGGGTATACGAATATATGTGCTAGCGGATTCAAAAACTGGATATTTATTTACATTACTTCCCTATTATGGCAGGATAACGTCCGACGATATTTCCCGACCTGATCTTCCAGTAATCACCAGGATTCCACTACACTTATATCAGAAGTTGTTAGACAGAATTCCTAATTCAAAAGGATACCACATGTATACTGATAGGTACTACACCAGCATTATATTAGCAGAAAGATGAATTGTCATCTTACTGGCACCATAAAAGTTAACCAAAAAGGCGTACCTAAAGAAATAAAAAAACCAAAATTTTTAACAAGAAATACAGTTGCGTATAGAAAGAATAGCACTACGCTTCTTTCGTGGAAAGACAAAAGGATTATCACAATTCTGACTAATTACTACAGCACAAATATGAAATCTATCCACAGAATATTACGTGGTGGACATGTTGTAACAGTCAATAAGCCTGAAATGATATTAGGATATACAACAAACATGGGTTTTGTGGATCGTGCGGATCAATACGCTTCGATGTATTGTTTTCTACGAAAACCTATGAAATGGTGGAGGAAGTTATTTTTTTTTGAAATGGTGATGTGTGTGATTAATTCATACATAATTTACCGCATCTCAAAGGGAACAAATAATCAAAAACGAATGAAACACTACAAATTTATCAAGGCACTCATTAAACAGCTAAGAGGTGATTTTCGTGAATCGAGAACGCGTCCATCCATATCTTCTGCGGAAAATAGATTAGATAATAAACTACATATTCCTGATAAAAGACAAAAAAGACAAAAAAGACAAGATTGCATTGTCTGTTCCAAAAGGAAAATACCTGGTGGCAGACATCTAACAAATTATTATTGTAAAACATGCGTAAATAATCCTGCAATGCATATTGGGAAGTGTTTTTAGCTTTATCATACTGTAAAAAATTATAAAAAATATTGATTTTTTTTTTTGCAAAAATATGTTCCTTTATGTCTACCGATTAATATAAGTCTAATATCATTAGAATCCGTTACTTGGTTCTAAAGTTATACTAAATAATACGTGGGTCTGTATATGTGCCGTTTCTGTCGCGAAGTTGCGCGGAGTTACTGCTACCCAGCGTCGAGAGTCGTGCGGAGTGCAAAGGGTTAATTATATGTAACATCTATCAAAATGAATTAACATGACAAATATTTGTTAGTATACAAATAGATACTTCATCAATGGAAAATTAAACATGAAAACATCATATACGCTGAGCTTAGTCTGGTATTATTGATGTTCAGTACCAAATCTTTTGTAGACGATAAACTTTATATTTGTTATTTTTTATAATATTCAATTTCTGTGAAACAGATTCTGCTATAAGTCTATGAATTAAAATATCATGAAATACGATAGGCAGCAGAGATTATTACCTAAATATTAAGAAATTCCAAAGAGCCATAAATTCCCAAACTATCTCAATGATCAAAGAAACATACATTCCGATATTCTAGATCACGTTTCTTTATGCATTGTTTCCCTTTCCCAGAAACATAAGATTTTCCTTCGGGAGATCCTGGTAGGTGGACCCTCCTACTATTGACCAATAAGTCCCATTTAGGTTCTTCTCTCTCCAAAGGGGTGTAACTAACTTATATATAAAAACCCGTGAAATAATGTAAGAAGCGTTCTGTCCATTAGGTACTTTTGCCTGTAATACACATTGTCTGTTATACATCATACATTTATACAGTCCACATCAACAATTGTAACATAGTCACCAAGACTCAAGTTAATAAATTATTGTTGAATGAAAAAGTGCCTTTAGAATACTACAAAACCACTCGCACCGTATTAATTTACCGTCGAGAGACTTTCCGTACAAACTCGCGTATAATTGCAACTTAAAACCTGTACGTTAGTTTGAAACGGATTCGCGTCAGCATAACATATAGTGCGCGCGAATAATTGATGTTTCAAGGATATGAAGTGTCAGATCAATGAGTAGGTGCGTGTATGAATCTTCTTCCTCCAGCAATTTCTTTTTTACTTATTCTTTTGTTCAGATAGAGAAAATAAATTTGGAAGAAATCATATCTATTTTGCTCATTGGCAGCTTAGATACAAGGATTCGATGCCTGTTCAAAATTTCACTGAAATTCAAATTTATTTTTATGAGCATTATCATTAATACCGTACCTTTCTCATCGGGCATTCTTCATGAGGTTTTAAAGCGTTTTTTGGAGTGCGAGAAAACATCGCCTTAATTAAATTGTCAACTCTTTCTACATAAACTTCACTATAGGTCCACAATCCCTTAATTCAATGCAATCAGTTTGCCACGTTATCATGGCAACTCTTAAAGGCTTTGAAAATAACTAAAAGGAAATATTTATTTAAGGTTTATGATATTATTTTTGTTTTGTGATGTAATAAAAATGCAACATTGAGAGTAGACACTACAAAATGTATTTCTATAATTTTCATGTTTTCAATTACTTTCTAATTGAAATTCAAAATTAAAATAAATTTAATTTCTTGATTAAAAATTTATAATTAACTTGCTTGGAAGCTTCATGTTCTTCAGATAAAAAGCTTC